TTCCATTTCATCTATTTTCTTGGGAAAGAAATGACTTACCCATTCCAAGTGTACTTCCAGAGCAGGTTACTGCAATGAATAAAAAGAAAAGCATCTAAAACATACTTATCAAAAAAACCCATACAGTTATTGATACAATCGATGCGGTAAAGACGCAACTTACAGTTGTATATATGTGATAAAGATAAAACTTACCCTTGATTGATTAGCAGTTTGAAACTTGTGCCACTAGGGCTCCTTACTCCACTGAACCTACTGCCCACGAGTTGGTTCCGAGCCACAGTCACCCTCTATCAGGTTCCCAAGGCTGTAAATCTTTATAGGAGGAGATCATCCATCTTTCTCCTGTAGAGTATGTTAAGAGAGCCCCTTCTCTCACACACATGGAAAAGTCACTCATTGCTGTCAAGTTGGAACCAACTCGTAGCTGACCTTTCACTGGGTTTCAGAGGCTATAAATTGCATGGGAGGAGAGTATCCACTTTTCTCTCTCAGAGCCCATGGTGGATTTGAACGCCCAGAGAGACTCAGCCTTTGGGTTATCAGTGTAACTCCCAATGGACTGTGCTACCAGAGCCTCACAATTCTAAGGAAGGACTTCCACTGGCTGACAAACCATCAGAGGAAAGGCTCTTTCAGTGTTGAATAGTGCCTGTACTACTAGCTGTATAGTTATAGGCTTTCACATAAACTCAGGTATTTATTCTTTATTTATTTATTTTTTTAACTTAAGATATATCTGGCTATAGCCATGAGCAGCACAATGGTTAAGAGCTCAACTGTAACTGAAACATTGGTGGTTGGGACTCACCAGTGGCTCCACAGAAGAAAAAAAATCTGCTCCTATAAAGACGTCAGCCCCGGGAACTCTAGGGTAGTCAACATTGCCCTGTCCTGTGGTGTCAGAGTGGCAACTACAGAGACTCGGCAAAATCATCAACTAGGGTAGACGCCACACATTCAACTCCTAGTAATTTTGTTTTTGTTGTTGTTGTTAGTTGTTGCTGAATTGTGTAAGACTCATAGCGACTGTGTGAACAACAAATCTGAACCCCATCTTATCCTGGGCCATTCTCATCATCCCTGACACAACTAGCCCATTTCTGCAGTCACTATTTCAATCCATCTGGTTAAGGGTCTTCCTCTATTTCGCTGACCCTCCACCTCCCAAAATATGGAGATGTTCCTCTCCTAGGAATAACCTGTACTAGAAACATACCCAAAGTATGTGAGATGAAGCTTTGTCGTCCTTGCCTCCAAAGAGTATTCTGGCTGCACTTTCTCCAAGACATATTTGTTCTTTTGGCCCTCCATCGGATACTTCTACAACATCTCAGTTTATAAGAATCAATTCTTCTGTCATCTTTATTCATTTCCAGCTCTCAGACGCATAGCAAGTGAATGAAAAGACCATGGCTTGAATCTAAGGCACACCTTAGTCTTCAAACTGACATCATTGCTCTTCAATAATTTGGAGAAATCCCTGATAGCAGACTTGCCAAATGTGATACCATCTCCTGACTGTTGGTACCAAGCGTGTTGATTGTAGACCCAAGTAAGATAAAATTGTTGACCGCTTAGATCTTTTCTCTCTCTATCATAATATTGTTCATTGGTTCAGTGGTGAGGATTTTTGACTCCTTAATGTTGAGATGTAATCTGTATAGAAGGCTGTAGCCTTTGATCTTCTACGATAAACCTTTCAAGTCCTCCCCACTTTCAGCAAGCAAGGCTGTGTCATCTAAAACAAGTTGTTAATAAGTCATCCTCTAATCCTCATTCTTCTTCATGGACTCCAGCTTCTCCAGTTATTTGCTCAGTGTACAGATATGATAAAATAAGGGTGCTGTGGAGTCATAAAGGAGCCCTTGCTGGTGCAATGGTTCAGCACTGAGCTGCTAAGAAGTCAGTGGTTCAAACCTACCAGCTACTCGGAATATGAGAAATGTGGATGCCTACTTCTACAAAGATTTACAGCTTTGGGAATTCATATCTATAAGTTAGAACTGACTAAGTGAGAATGAATTTGGGTTCTTGGTGGGAACTTTAGAAAAGAGGAGGAGGAGAGGGGGCTAACTCAGCCCAAGGAAATTTGGAGAAGTTTGAGCCGAGCTGGTGGAGCTCTCTGAACTGAAGTAGGGTAAGACTCCAGGCAAAGACAAGAACAACTCTGCCAGCTCAGAAGCAAGATAGGGTTGGAGGCAGGCTGGAGTGTAGGTGTGTGCATGTAAAGTGGT